GTTCTAGGTTAATTCTTTTTTTAAAAAGATAATATTATTTTCTCCTTTAATCCTTTAGGAATGCTTTTTCTAACATTTTCTTTATAACAATCAGTGAACCCCAAAATCCTAAACACATTTATTAACTGGCCAGCTATATTTTGTGCCAATTAAATGAAACTTACTTCTCTAATTTCATCAGTTAAAGAACCACTGTGTCTAATTTGGTACTTTAAGATATGAGTGAATGAAGAATTAAAACAATTAAATATATTGAGGTTAAGAGATTAAAAAGGGATTTATTAAAATTAAATAGGTGAGAAAATAAAATTTGTGTTTTGCTCTTAAAATTAAGATGGGGAGGCTGAAGAGGCCTAGAATTCAAAATTTATGTTTACCTCATTTGGTGATCTAAATAATTTTTCTGAAAGAAAATGGTTACATGTATTTATGGAGCTAGCATTCATAGACAACAAGCCTTCTTTTGTTTAAAATTGTTAAAACAAATGAAAACATAGAAACTAGAAATATCCTCTATTCCATCTTCTTTCTGACGTATCTGTTCTAAGTAAAGAAGTTGTTTTTTCCCTTAACACAAAAGGCAACTAAGAGCAAATCAATGGAAAAGAATCCCATAATGTGCCTCCAGTTTTCCTAAGTAACAGAATTACTCTTTTTTTCCCCCTGAAAAGTAACTATACCTCTCATATATTACCTTGGTTTTGCATAGTTTTTAAGGTCACTGTCTTTATAACTACAGTTAGAAAACTCAAGAGGGCTATGCCTTCTTACAGTCAGTCCTATATAATAAAAGGGTAATATGCAAATTGACCCTAATGGGAACAACCAGGAATGACTGGTCACTAGGATGCGCACTGACCATCAGGGGGCAGACACTTAACACATTGTTTGCGGGTAGTTTTTATCGCGCGCTAACAGGTGGCGCAGGCCGTTCTTGCTAATTTTTTGCGCAAATGGCAATGTTCAGTAAAATTACCATAACTTTAGTTTACGTATTTATACGTTACCTGCATTCTACCGCTAGTCTATAAAAAACGTATTAATATGTGTCCCGCGCTCTACTACTAGTCAATGTAAAGTGTATAAGTAAAACGTATAAATACATTTCCCGCATACAGTGTGTTAACGCAGGAGCTGCCCCTGATGGTCAGTGTGCTCACACAGGGGTAGGTCCACTCAGCCACAAGCCGGGCTGACAGCTGTGAGCATGGTGGCAGTGGCGGGAGCCTTTCTCACCTCGTTGGCAGCGCTAAGGTTGTCTGACTGTGGCTTAGGCCCACTCCCCTAAGTCGCAGTCAGACATCCCCCAAGGGCTCCTGGGCTGCCAGAGGGATATCTGACTGTCAGCTTAAACCTGATTCCCTGGGGAGTGGGCCTAAGCTGGCAGGTGGACATTCCCCGAGGGGTCCCGGACTGCGAGAGGGTGCAGGCCGGGCTGAGGGACCTCCCATAGTGCACGAGTTTTTGTGAACCAGGCCTCTAGTCTACATATATAAAAGCCTAAGCAACCTTTATGATGGAACGACTGGTCAACCAGTCACTATGATGCACACTGACCATCAGGGGGCAGACGGTCAATACAGGAGCTGCTCCCTGGTCAGTGCGATCCCACAGGGGGAGTGCCACTCAGCCAGACACCAGGCTCATGGCTGGTGAGTGCAGCTGCGATGGTGGGAGCCTCTCCCGACTCCTCGGCAGCTCTACTGAGTGGCAGCAGCAGGCACAGTGGGCCCAGATGGGCAGGCACAGCGGGTTGGGTTCCTCCCTGGCTGCCTGCCACTTGGTGCACTGCTACATCCCCTGAGGAGTCCCGGATTGCGAGAGGGTGCAAGCTAGGCTGAGGGCTCCCATGCTCCTGCCCCGTGCATGAAATTCGTGCACTGGGCCTCACTCGGCAGCTCTACTGAGTGGCAGCAGCAGGCACAGTGGGCCCAGATGGGCAGGCACAGCGGGTTGGGTTCCTCCCTGGCTGCCTGCCACTTGGTGCGCTGCTACATCCCCTGAGGAGTCCCGGATTGCGAGAGGGTGCAAGCTAGGCTGAGGGCTCCCATGCTCCTGCCCCGTGCACGAAATTCGTGCACTGGGCCTCGTATTCTTAATAATGAAAGGACATCCTAACAGCTCACCTCTGACCTCTCAACCATAAGAAATGGACATAAATTATGCCGGCTTCATTATGGTTCCTTAACTCAAACAACCCATTAAGGTTTTGCAGATGTTAACTAGGATAGACCTTTCTCTTTCATTCTTTGTGATTTATATGTCAAGGACATTGTTGTTTTAGAAAAAACAAACAACTAAAACGTGGAAACCAAAGTCTGTTTCAATTAGGCAGTTATTCATGTTGGTGTGTAGAAAAAAGTCCTTAAAGCTGAAAATCTCGTTATGATAGTGTATTGCTTTCTTGGAAGGCTGACAATTGTGATTTAGTTTAGTTTTTATTTGGATTTAGTTTTGCTCAAAGCAGGGATTGGAAACACTTTAACTATGAAATGTAGATGTACTTTTGTTTTCATCAGTGAATAGAATTACACATTTGCGAGTTTTTTTGATTTGTCACACATTTAATAAGTATTTATTGAACACCTGTTACGTTGCAAAAGGTAGGTCTGCGGTGCCCCTAAGAGTCCAGTGGTACTAGTAGTAACTGGTTGGGCTCAGAGAGACTTTCGGGAGAAGCAATGGAGCCAGCAGCCTCTAAAAGAAAGCTTACATCCTGCCAGCCAAAGGTCAGCCCGTGGCTTTGCCTCTGAGAGCTGTGGAATGCAAGCTTTATAACTCATCTCCTTAACATGAAGAGATGTGTGCTCTTTCTGAAAATATTGTTTTAAAAGTTGAAAGCGATGCTTTTGTAAAACTAAAAATCTCCCTTGAAATTATTTTACTTGGAGCATTGACCCACGGCTTAGGAATTCTTCTTGTCACTGATTCAAACTTGAAAATACGTTGTGGGTTGGGGAGGGAGTAGAGAGGGAATCCGTTGTTGTGCACATGTGTTCCAGAAGCTGGAGTCATGGCAGGTTTCCTCTTGGTATGCTCTCAGCTCCCGGCGTGTCTGGTGGAGTGGGCAGAAGTGGACTGTCCGTCATACTCATCCTGTGCCCAGTGTTTCCACCATGTGGCCCAAGGGAGTATTCTAGGAGAATGTCTGATGAAAGAACAGACTTTAGCCTGGGAGCCTAAGGGAATTATTAAATGGTTTAAATTAGGGGAGTGGTTAACTTGCATTTTGAACATTTCAATCTGGCCTTGGTGTGGAGAATTAGGGAAGAGGCACATTTGGAAGCAGAAACAACAGTGGGATGGAGACGTGTAGTTTAGGAAAAAAGAAATGAAGGCTGAGAATAAGGAGTGAGTTGAGAAAAATTTCCTATGCAGCAGACACTTAAAGATAGTTTGCTATTACTGAGGTGTTTTTATTCATTTGTTTTCATTTAGAAAAGATGGTTTGATTAGAAAGCATGCTATATAGATTGACAGAAATAACTAAAAAAAACCCCCACTCTGTGTGTTCCATCTATTTTCAGAAAATTGACTTTTGAAATATCTAGATAAATTATTTTAATCTTTTCAGAGCATAGCATTGGTTCTGAGACATGAAATTTCTTAAACAATGAAAATGACATTTTGTAAAGGGATTTGACATTATCAGGTATAGGGTATATGAAAGTGTTTTGTTTGTAAAACCTTGATAACATTTTATAAAATTTCTTAGAGATACCAAGAATCTTTTGGTTGTGCTACAATCACAGTTGACTAATTGTCTGACTTAATTGTATTTTAAATTAGTCTATAACCTTGCTGACTTGCATAAAATTGGGAATATTTCTTCAGTATTGTTATTAGATATGATTTAATAAAAATGACTTCACATGTGGCATTTTGATCAACATTGTATTTATTACATGTTTTAAAGGGCATGGTTTTATTTTATTTGCATAATATTGAAAATTAGGTTTGATGAATTAAATGTCTGTTTTTAGATAATTTTAATTAATGTATGAAATAGTTATAGAGTACAGACACCCTATATAAACCAAAGGATATCTTTCAGTTTGTTGCTTGTCTAAAGGAAAGTTCTCTTTCATGAATTGTCAAGTGATTTGTTAGTAGAATACAAGAACTATTTGGCAATTGAATCTAGAAGAAATTTATCTTTTATTTTGGTTTTGGTATTTTATTAAGGTTACTTCAAGCTATCTAATTACTTTAGGTGAATATTTTTAATTTCTTTGGGTCAAATTCTTAATAGCACAAGATGACCTTTTTAAGAATGGAAAGAAAAATGGATATAGGTAGAGATATACTTAATATTATTGCAGAGAAGTCCACCAGAGGCTCACAGTCCGTGATTCTACTGCGAACCTGATGTAAAGCATTTAAGAATAAGGCTTTGGCTCTCACATTTTGTCTCCTAGGACAATTTGGCATTGTATGTCAACATTAAATATTTTGAGTTGCCTTTTTTCTGTTTAAAAGCTATTCTTAGATTCTTATAGTAATGTGGTTGTCAAAACAGAGGAATGGATGGTAGCACGTGTGCTTCTGCACGTAACCAATTTCACAGTGGCTTAGCTAGAAATGAATGTCTCTCTCCCCCATTTTTTCATCATCCCGGGGTTCAGTGCTACAAGATTGGTTGCTATAAATTTAGGAGTTTTTCCATTTTTATTTACCAAGATAATATTTTCATGACTAGAGGCCTTTTCATGAACTCCGATGATAGTCTTTGTTTTATCCCCTTTTTCTTTACTTGTAAACTCAGTGACATACCCTACAAACTTAGAACCATAGAGCTAGCTTGAATTACATAATGTATCAGCTTTCTATACAGTTCTCTGATTTTAAAAAAGAAAAAGGTCCTTACATTTTAAGTGCTCCATCTCCCTCTGCCTCCCCATCCCTATTTTGCATCCAGTATTCAGATGTGTTTATATTTGGCCTTTGCTGTTCTGCCTAACCCTGCTCTCTGCTTCTAGTTAACAGCCCGGTCCTTGCCTGCTGTGCAGTCCGATGAGCGACTACAGCCTCTGCTTAACCACCTCAGGTAAATGAGGGCGCCACCCTGTTGTCATGCTTATAAATGAGAGGGCATTACAGTGAGTAAAGCATATTAGAGTGGGTGAAACCCCTTTAGTTACCAAAAGCTTCATTCTTTTCTTGATTTAATTCATTGATTTAAGTTGAATTTTTAATACAATACACTTGCTACTCTTGACTTTAAGGTACTATAGAAAGCTCTTAATTTAATAAAAGTATATAGAACTAGTTGATAAGTTTAAGTTAAAATGAGTAGGGATGACGAGCTACAAGAAAAATCACAAAGGAATGAGCTATTTACTTAAATACAAGGCCAACGCATACTTTTGGACCCCTACATATTTTATAGGGGATAGAAGAAATAGGGATTTGCTTTCCAAATACAACAATAATGTATCTTAATTTAAAAACAACACAAACTTAGAAAATACAAGAGAGTAAAGAGAAAACCCATCAGCACTAAGAATAATTCTTTTATAATGTTTTAAAACCCAGTGTTGAAATTATACTTTTGTATAATTTGCTGTTTTTTCCTTTTAAAATAAACATTGTAAGACTTTTTTAGTTATTTTTAGTTATTTTTTAGTTACTTTGAATCTCTCCAAAAAAATATTTTTTAGTGACTGCATGAAGTTTTATTGTGTAGATGTACTCTAGTGTATTTATCTCCCTGGGGGGGCATTTAGACAATTTCCAATTTTTTTCATTAGTATAAAAAAATGTCATAGGTACACCTTTATTTGTGTTTTTGACCATTTCTTTAATATAGATTTTCAGAGGCGGAATTACTTTGTCAAACCATATGAACCATTTTAAAGATTTAAGTGTATATATTTATATTTTTTTCAAAAACCTTATTCTAGCCCTTTCCAGTGTGGCTTAGTTGGTTGGGTGTCGTCCCATGCACTGAAAGGTTGCTGGCTCAAATCTCAGGGCACAATCCCTGGTAGGGCATGTTAACTTGTTGGGATCGGGTGAGCCTCACATAAACCAAACTATCAGTAAAAAAAAAAAAAAAAAAAAAAAAGTTAAAAAATACTTTAAACAATAAAGATTAAAAAAAACCAAACTTATTCTTTAAAAAAACACACACCTTATTCTGCTTGTACTTTCATATTGTACATGATTGCCCATGTTACTGTACCCTAAACTAATTGGGGCAGCCAAAACATTGCTAAACTTAAGAGTTAATCATAGAGATACTATTGTGATCATGTACATTTCATTTATTATTAATAATTTTAAAACATTATCATCTTAAAACGTTTTTATTTTGGGGTGGGATTAACTATGCATTATTGCCCATTTATTGATAGCATCCTTGATTTTTATTTGACCTTAAGTACTTTAGATATAAAGGATATTATCTTTTCATTGTATTTGTTACAAACATTTTTTTCTGCAAATTTTTTATTATGTTGCATTATCCAGCATACCTACATTTTCAAGTTTTATGTAGCCAAGCACCAGTAGTGTTTTCTCTTTATTCTTTTAAAACTGAGAATGCCACTTCTCATTTATAAATTTGGGTGGATACTAATTTCCAGTATCTTTTAGTATTCTTTATTTTTTCCTCCTTCCCTCCCATCCCCTTTTTCTTCCTCTCTTACCCTTCTCTCTATTAGCTTTTCCTTCTCAGACAGATACTTTTCATTCTGTATAACTGTTTTTTGGGGGGATGGTAGTGGTCAGACTAACATTTCATCAGGGCTGAGTATCATAAATATTATACCTAGTTGTTAAATTTTCTAGAGCATTGTAGTAGGGAATCATGTTTGAGTCACTTCCCTAACCCCCTCTCCTGCTTGTTCTAATCTGTTGATGATTTTATCTCCCCATTATCTGTCTTCCTATAGTAGCTTCTTATCTGTTCTCCTTGACACCAGTTTTGCCTTCTCTAAAATATGTCACATCAGTGCCAGAGTGATTATACTGTTCCTTGGCATAAAATCATTCTATCTCCTCAGTTTCATTTTGGATGAAGTCTAAACTTCTTAGCCTGACCTATGAGGTTCTTCTGGAAGGAGCCTGGCTTGTTTCTTTGGACTCTTCGTTTAGTACCAGTACCCCAACTTCTAGTGCCACCAAATGCCTTGAAGTTGCTTTAAGACAGCACACTCTTACTCACCTCTATGACCTTGTAAATATTTTCCTTCTGCCTGGAATGTTCCCTCCCCTTCGCCACTTTTATAATTTGACTAACTTTAAAGACTTGGCTCGTGTCCCCATTTAGTCTCCATCCCCTTCCCCGCAGTCAGCATTTGATGTTTTTTATATGTATTTCCACAATACCCCATGGCTACTATAATATCCGTATTACAGAACTTATGATGTTGTAATTGTCTGTTTACTTGTCTGATTACTTGGTTAAAATGAGCTGCTTGAGAGCTTGGGAAGTGACTTTCCTATTTGTGTTTTCAGTGGCTGGGACATGATAGGTATTTAATACGTGTTTTGTTGAGTGAATGAATGTGCCTTTTAGCATTAATGTTTTGCTTTTACTTATGCATAGTTTTATAATTTATAAGGCACAGTATTTCCTATAAAACCACTGGTATAGAAGGTATAAACCTAAAAGGGCTGAATCGTACCTCTAGTTAATGCTCAATTCTGTGCGATAATGATGGATTTTCCTTCCTCCACCTCAGTATGGTAATTGTCAACTAGAATTTAGATTAACTACTGACATGTCTCTTTGAGTCCTTGAAACTTGCACAAACTGTACATTCGTTTGGGCGTTCATTCTCCATGCAGTTCACTCAGGACTGGTTGCTAGGCAACCAGGGCTAGATGCTACATGTAATATGCACCAACTGGTGTTGCTTTTTTATTATTATTAAACCAAATGGTTTCTCATTTTATTACCATGTCAGAGACATCTGTATGGAGGGTGACAGTTGATGTGCATAGTTTGACATTTCCTGTTGTACAAAGTAACCTTGTGATAAGGCTTTCAATCATGTTGAATTGTCTCTTTGGGCTGTCTGAATATAGTGTTTTTCTTTTACCTTCCTTTTGCTTAGGTCAAAATAGGAATGCACACTATTTGGTTTGAGAAATTCTAATGATAATCTTGTTAGGGAAAAATCATCATCATTGATTTGCATGAACTGTAATGTTTAATGTTACCTAGAGGGGATGGACAGGAGGTTGAGACTCAAATCATTATTAGATCTAATTTTGTTCAGTGCCCTAATGATCAAAGTGGAATGATGAATAGCATTTTAATTAAATTTGTCAATAAAACTAATTTAGGATGATAGTACAAATACCTGTAAAAATTGAAGTAGCAATACAGAGAAATTCTCAAACCATTTTTCAGGATTCAAAGGCTCTAAGATATAACATTTGCCACCCTAAAAATCTTAGATATTGCTTAATAATATATATTATTTCCAGAATGTAGAGACAATAGTTCTCTAGTCAAAAGTTAAATTAAGCACAGAAAAACACTTGGCTTTAATATCTTACGGAAATATAAGCTTAATTTTATTCATTAGTAGCATCCATCCATTCATCAGTAAAAGCGAGCCTATTATTTGGTTGGAATTTAAAAAGTAGACAATTTCCGTTCTCACGGAATTTACAGTTTTGATTTTATTTGAAAGATAGACACTTAAACACATTACAAAGTATGTAAACATTTCTACTAATAATTAAGCAAAAGCACTTAATTTTATTAATTGAACTGTGTCCTCCTGGAATTATTTCCTTAAGCAATGGGGCTATGACTTCCTGGTTTAGGATTCCATACTCCTAGCATTGTAGTGTCTCCCAGTGGGTGTGCAGATTGGCCTGAACTTTCATCTCACTTGGGTGATGATGTTGTCTTAACTAAGAAGGAGAATAAAGGAAGACAAGGGATTAGGGAATGAATGTGACTGCTGAAATGATAAATTTAGTAGTTTCAGACATTTTAAACTTGAGTTGCCTGTGGAGCATATGTGGGGGGCAGGGGATGTTTAGTAAGTAGCTGAATATAAACCACTAGAGGCCCAGTGCATGAAATTCATGCACTCTGGGGGTGTCCCTCAGCCCAGCCTGCGCCTTCTTGCAGTCTGGGAGCCCTCAGGGGATGTCCAATTGCCACCTTAGGCCCGCTCCCCGGAACGGGCCAAAGCCTTCAGTCAGACATCCTTAGTGCTGCCATGGAGGCGGGAGAAGTTCCCGCCACCACCACTGCGCTCACCAGCCATGAGGCCAGCTTCTGGATTAATGGCACTCCCCCTGTGAGAGTGCACTGACCAACAGGGGCAGTTCCTGTGTTGAGTGTCTTGCCCCTCCCCCCTGTGGGAGTGCACTGACCAACAGGGGCAGTTCCTGCGTTGAGTGTCTTGCCCCTCAGTAGTCAGTGCACATCATAGCGACTGGTCATTCCGCCTTCAGTCGATTTGCATATTAGCCTTTTATTATATAGGATAGTTTAAGAATGAGATTTATACCAGAGAGAGACATTTGCTAGCCATCAGTATAGGGGTGCTGGTTAAAATCAGGGGAAGGTTGACATCACTGAGGGAGAGAGTATAGAGTGACAAGCAAAGGGGAAGTGTCTCTGAATAGAACCCATAGAATACCAGTGTTTAAGTGACTTGTGATGGGCAGCAATGGAAGGAAGAGACGAGTTAAAAGAGAAAACCCAGTAGAAATACCAGGGAGGAATCTTGAAGGAGACAGGAACATAGCAAGGGATAGTGGTGTCAGAAATACTAAGGGAAAGATTTAAAAAAGGAAAGGTAAACACTGTCAAATGCCCTAGGAAAGTCAGGTCAGAACTATATGATGTCAGTTGGATTAGGCACACGGGAGCCACTGGTGGCTTAGCCACAACATTGTGATGGTACAGATGCAAGTCTGATTCCCTTGAGGAGCCCAGGAGTAAATGAGAATCGAGGCTGTGACGATACAGGGCGTGTAGGCTACTCTTGGTAGAACAGGGAAGGTGAGAGGACTATATCTTCTTTCAATGAGCTTCATGGTTGGAGAAGTGGTTTATTTTTCCTTAAGATTGGAAAGATGAGCCTATTTATAGATTAAATAGAAAATGGTGTCTCTGAGAGTAAGATGAAATAATTGAAGAGGGAAGTTGCTAGAAGAGGTAAAAGGAGATGGGACCAAGAAGTCAAACTGGCAAGAGTGTACAAAGTATTTTAGTTTATATTCAGAAAAACCCAGTGAGGGCAATAGATGGTAATTTATCATCATCCCTATTTTAAAGTTTGTTGATGGAGTCTCAGGAAGTTCATGTTAAAATCTGATTTTTCAAATGAACTGCACTTCCTCAAAAGAGATGCATGGATTATTTTATAAGACTTGACTACTTTTGAAAATTTATGCCAAGAATTTCTCCATTGGAAAAAATAAACTTGCTTAGACTTACTCCAAAATGTTAAATTCTGAAGTACCAGAGAGAATTTGTGTAAACCATTGTTCCTGCTTTCAAGTCACATATAATTAGATATGTTATCTAATGAGTCTGCATCTCAGTGTGACTTTATTGTCATTCTCACTGCATTTTCTAGGATGAACTGTATAGTGTGCTGATTTTTTAATGTAGAGATATATAAATTGGGATATGTTTCTGTGAGTGTAGAAGTTTATTGTTCATAGATATCTTTGCTACCTTAACGAGGATATCCCCAGATACTTTTTATATAATGGTATTAGATTCTCAAGGTGTATGTTAAAGATTATTATTTTTATGTATTACATCACTTACAAATGCCAGGTATAATCAGGTGAGACTAGAGAGGAAAACTTGCAGCCTACATTCCACATGTGATAACTTCGATTGTGTGATTAAGATTTCTTCCCTTAAAAATAACACCATTTCCCATAGTGACGCAGCCCTCCTCATACCTCTGCCTCAAGGTATGAAATGAATGGGGGACAGACGTCACTTTAATTGTTGCTTTTATTTATTTTTTCCCGCCAATTAAAGAATAATTTCAAAAACATGTATTTGTTATACTATTTCTCCTAATTAAATTAGCACGTTTTAGCCCACCAATGAAGTGGAAATAAAGGATAAAACAAACTAGCAATGAGAAGGATTGCCCATAGTAAATACATGGACTGTTTCGCATGGATTAACTTGTGATGCATCCTGAATTTGTAAGCAGATGTTTATATTGACCTTTAATTTAAAATCATTAAAAATGATGAAAGCATCTTCATTCAGTTGGTATTATGTTATTACAGATTGTTCTTGTGAATGTTTTTCTAATGCAGTACATTTGGTTAATATGTACACGTTTCTCTCTATTCCTGTAAAGAATATGCTCTGAAAGGTTTTTTTTTTTTTTATCAGAAATGAAACCTCTGTAAGAAAGCTTTTGCCAGTATCCATATTGGTACAGTTCTCAATATTTTCTTTTTGAATTAGTGCTCATTTTGAAATCAGAAATTCGGGTGGGCATTCCTTTGCTAGAAAAAGGTTCAGTAGACAGGGACTTCCACCGATTGAGGGCTGAAATGAAAGCCTCGCTAACATGGTCCACAGGCTTCGGGTGTTTGTCAGCTCTTCCTCATCACCTGTGTCCAGCCTCTTGGCAGTCCCTTCAACCATTTATTTTTCCATGTGCAGCAATAACAAGCATGATCATTGTGAAGGTTTTCAGGTAACTTATAAGATATTAATATATTAGAAATAATATATTTTTCCATTATTTATTGTCTTTGAATTACTCCCCGTCCCCCCCTCGCATCTATATGGAAATGTGTATGCCTTCTTAGAGATGTACTTGTCAAGAGTCAGCAATTTGTTAAAATCAACCCATTGTGTTAAGGGCACTATATGTATACTCTGATTAAGTACAAAGGAGTTGATAGATGTTGCCCCTTAATTTGAGACGTTTATACCTGTATTCTAACACACACACACACACATACACACGTGCCCCACCCCACAAAGCTGCCCTGCATTAATGCTCCAGCTTAATCATGTAAAGAGAGAGGTGGGAAATCTTTCATTAGAGGTAGTACCTATATGTGATTTTGTTACCAATTTAATGTCATGTTATTGTTTCTGATAAAATTTATAGGCACAATATGTAAAATTGAAAAAATAGAAGAAACGAATCCTACCTCACTAATACAACTGCTACTAGGCATTTGTTGTAATCTCTATGTATATTTTATGTA